AGGGCAGAGAGGCCGAGGCCTTCCCCTGAGAAGAACCCCAGAAGAGCCCTGCTGGGTCAGACCAGGGAGGGTCCATCCAGTCCAGCCTCCCGTCTCACACAGGGGCCAGCCAGTTCCTCTGGAGGGCCAGCAACAGGGCAGAGAGGCCGAGGCCTCTCCCTGATAAGAACCCCAGAAGAGCCCTGCTGGGTCAGACCAGGGAGGGTCCATCTAGTCCAGCCTCCCGTCTCACACAGGGGCCAGCCAGTCCCTCTGGAGGGCCAGCAACAGGGCAGAGAGGCCGAGGCCTCTCCCTGATAAGAACCCCAGAAGAGCCCTGCTGGGTCAGACCAGGGAGGGTCCATCCAGTCCAGCCTTCTGTCTCACACAGGGGCCAGCCAGTTCCTCTGGAGGGCCCACAACAGGGCAGGGAGGCCGAGGCCGTCCCCTGATGTTGCCCCCAGCACTGGGATTCAGATATTTACTGCCTCTGAAGACGGAGGTTATTCAGAAAGCCCTCTGTAGCTTCCAGGCAGAAACACACCCTGCCAAGTATAGGTGTCAGCCCGATCAAGTCTACTGACAGGGAGTGTTAAAGGAGAGCTGGTAAAGAATTCAATTTAAAAGAAAGGTGAAGGGGGAAATTCGATTAGGCACATAAACAGGAGCACAGGCAGGTGCCTTCTACTGAATCAGACCCTTGGTCCAGCCACTCAAGACCAATGCTCCCTCTAAGCTGTGGAGTCTTGTGAGCAAAAATTCCACTTTGTGAACTCACGTCAGTCAGTCAGGCCTTTATTATGGCAACAAGCCACAGAACACACATACTCGAACACACATGCTTAAATATAACATCCATAACATTCACATAACTGAATTACTTTGTGAGCTACCACTGCCACAGGAGGTGGTGGCAGCTACAAGCACGGACGGCTTCAAAAGGGAATTAGATAAGCAGATGGAGCAGAGGTCCATCGGTGGCTATTAGCCACAAGGTATAGATAGGGACTCTCGGTCTGGGGCAAGGGATGCTCTGTCTTCTTGGTGCTTGGGGGGGTCAACAGTGGGAGGGCTTCTAATGTCCTGGCCCCACTGCTGGACCTCCTGAGGGCACCTGGTATTTTTGGCCACTGTGTGACAGAGTGATGGCACTGGTATTTCTGGCCACTGTGGGATACAGAGTGTTGGACTGGATGGGCCATTGGCCTGATCCAACATGGGCTTCTCTTATGTCCTTCTATGGAGCAGAGGTCCATCAGTGGCTATGAGCCACAAGGGATAGATAGGAACTCTCAGTCTAGGGCAAGGGATGCTCCGTAGTCTTGGTGCTGGGGGGGGGCAGCAGAGGGGAGGGGCTTCTGGTGTCCTGGCCCCACTGCTGGACCTCCTGAAGGCACCTGGTATTTTTGACCACTGTGTGATGCAGAGTGTTGGACTGGATGAGCGGACAACAGTGGGAGGGCTTCTGGTGTCCTGGCCCCACTGCTGGACCTCCTGAAGGCACCTGGTATTTTTGACCACTGTGTGATGCAGAGTGTTGGACTGGATGAGCCATTGGCCTGATCCAACATGGGCTTCTCTTATGTTCTTATATGGAGCAGAGGTCCATCAGTGGCCATTAGCCACAAGATCTAGATAGTAACTCTCAGTCTGGGGCAAGGGATGCTCTGTATTCTTGGTGCCGGAGGGGGGGGCAACAGTGGGAGGGCTCCTAGTGTCCTGGCCCCACTGCTGGACCGCCTGATGGCCCCTGGTGTTTTTGGCCACTGTGGGACACAGTGTTGGACTGGATGGGCTTTTGGCCTGATGTTCTTATGTTCTTATGGGCCTTTGGCCTGATGTCTCATAAGAACATAAGAGATGCCAATGTTGGATCAGGCCAAAGGCCCATCCAGTCCAACACTCTGTATCCCACAGTGGCCAGAAATACCATTGCCATCAGGAGGTCCACCAGTGGGGCCAGGACATTAGAAGCCATCCCACTGTTGACCCCCCCAAGCACCAAGAAGACAGAGCATCACTTGCCCCAGAGTCCCTATCTATACCTTGTGGCTCATAGCCACTGTGTGACCTCTGCTCCATATGCCTATCTAATTCCCTCTTGAAGCCGTCCATGCTTGTAGCTGCCACCACTTCCTGTGGCAGTGAATTCCAAGTGTTAATCACTGTTTGGGTGAAGAAGTACTTCCTTTTATCCGTTCTAACCCGACCGCTCAGCAATTTCATGGAGTGCCGACAAGGAGTTCTTGTATTGTGAGTTCTTGTATTTCATGGAGTGCCCACGAGTTCTCTTATGTTCTTATGTAATTAAAACTGTGAGCCAGCGATTTGGCTACTGCATAAATCAAGTCTGCTCCCTGAGCGAAGGCAAAAATGTGTGAGCCGGAGGCTAAAAACCTGTGAGCTGGCTCACAGGAACTCAGCTTAGAGGGAACACTGCTCAGGAGTACAGCGGCGCTCCAGGGTCTAATGTAGAGGGCTTTTGTACCATCTACTGCCTGATCCTTCTAACTGGGGATGTTGGGGATTGAACTCGGGACCTTCTGCAGGCAAGGCAAATGCTCTCCTCACTGAGCCACGGCCCCTCTCTGCTTGAGGTGCCCGGATCCATTACCTGTTGCCCTGAGCCAGGCTTGGGAGCAATCCTTGGTAAACAGCCCGTCGCCGATCTCCCGGAAGAAACGCTTCAGCGTGTTGGCCACGTCGTCCACGTGATGCTCCTCCTCCTTGAGCCGGACCCTGCGCGCGTCTCTCCGGAGCACCTCCAGGAGCCCGGTGGTCTTGGAGTTCTGCCCGCTCTTCTCCGAGGTCAGTCCTGGGGGGAGACACCAGAGGGTTCTTGAAACAGGAGCAGAGAGGACAGGTAAGGTAAAGGTCATGGTTCCCTTGCTCGAAAGCCAGTCGAGTCCGACTCTAGGGTTGCGGTGCTCATCTCCGTTTCAAAGCCGAAGAGCCAGCGCTGTCCGGAGACGTTTCCGTGGTCATGTGGCCGGCATGACTAAACACCAAGGCGCACGGAACGATGTTACCTTCCCACCGAAGTGGTACCTATTTATCTACTTGCCATGTCTTGCTTTTGAACTGCTGGGTTGGCAGGAGCTGGAACTGGAGACGGGAGCTCACTCCGTCAGAGAGGACAGGAGATGGATGCAATTTTAAAAATCGGTAGTTGTCCTGATTTCTAATCCAGCACCAGATTTCTAGTCCGGCGCCATATTATCTGGAGGATGACGGAAGACAGGAAGGCCTGGCGTGATGTGGTCTGTGAGGTCGTGAAGAGTCGGACTCGACTGTGTGACTGAACGACGACAACCATTCCAGAATTCCAAGGGAGAGGACGGCACTCAGTGAGCAGAAGGCTTGGGAGACCAGGGGTTTCATCTCTGGAGACGGAGACTGCATTTCTGAATCTCACGCACAGCAAAGTCTCCGACACACCGATCTCCTGGAATTTATCTCAGGTATCCTTAAAACATGTACCAGGATCTAGTGACCCAGCCAGGACACTAGGAGCCCTCCCACTGCGTATTCCCCCCCCCCACATAGCTAGCAATCCAAAACAGTCCCGTAGCACCTTTAAGACCAAGTTTTATTCAGGTAGAAGCTCTCCCTCCTCTGCGAGGACAGATCTGCACGTTCCCCCCCCCCAATAGCTAGCAATCCAAAACAGTCCAGTGGAGCCCCAGTGGTGAGTGTTGCCTTCTGACACACTTCCGGTGACGTCAGGGGGCGTGGCATATGCAAATAAGTTATGCGAATGAGCTCCTGCACCTCTTTTTCTACGAAATGACCCCTGCACCTATCTAAATTAAGCTTTGTTCCTGGAAAATGGTGGTCTATGCTTATGGCCAGGAAAGCCTCTAGTAGCAAGGAGTTCCATGGCCTAACTTATCCCAGAAGAAGCCATTTCCAACTTCAACGGATAATATTCCAAGAAAGAGAGAGAGTCGTTCTACCCCCACCCCACCCCCAATTCGTCCTTTCCATCACACTCAGGTGGGGCTGCAGGTGGCTACTGAGGTCACTTCCTGATCGGGGCGGGAGACAGAGAGGCCGTGTGGGCCACCCGACCCCTGACGCCCAAAGACTCTCACGTACCACAGCGGGTGATGTAATCGATGCACCGGTCCACGATGATGGGGACCTCGGAATCCGTCAGCTGCTGCTCGGACAAAGTGTCTCCGGAGCACCCGGCCGCCTTCTGGATCGCGCCGACCCATCCCAAGAAGTCCAGCTTCCTTTCAGCTTGGATGTACAGCGTCCTGGGGTGGGGGGTGGGGGGAGAGGAAAAGGTGTGCTGAGAAAAACAGGGATTCCCGCCTTCCCCTTTTCAAGCGGCTTCCTTCTGTGTGAAGCAGAGATGGGGCCCTTCACTCACGCCTCCCTTCTAGAACAAACCGCTGGGGAACCCGGAGGAACGACCCCCAATCTCCTTCTTTCCTCCTCCTCCTCCTCAGGAATTATGGTGGTGGAAAGTGCTGCCAAGTCGCAGACAACTTATGGCGACCCCGTAGAGTTTTCAAGGCAAGGGACAAACAGAGGTGGTTTGCCCTTGCCTGCCTCTGCGCGGCAACCCTGGACTTCTGTGGTGGTCTCCCATCCAAGGACTAACCAGGGCTGACCCTGCTTTGCTTCTGAGATCTGATGAGACTGTTCTACTTTGGGCCATCCAGGTTGAGGCAAAGGGCACACAGAGGTGGTTTGCCCATTGCCTGCCTCTGCGTGGCAACCCTGGACTTCCGTGGTGGTCTCCCATCCAAGTCCTAACCAGGGCTGACCCTGCTTCGCTTCTGAGATCTGATGAGATTGTTCTAGCCTGGGCCATCCAGGTCGGGGCAAAGGGCACAGAGAGGTGGTTTGCCAATTGCCTGCCTCTGCGTAGCAACCCTGGACTTCCGTGGTGGTCTCCCATCCAAGGAAAAACCAGGGCTGACCTTGCTTAGCTTCTGAGATCTGAGTTGCCTGGGATCTAAGCTAGCCTGGGCCATCCGGGTCAGGGCAAAGGGCACATAGTGGTGGTTTGCCACCGCCTCTGCCTCTGCGTAACGACCCCGGGCTTCCTCGATGGTCTCCCCATCCGAGCCCTAACCAAAGCTGACCCCGCTTAGCTTCTGAGATCTGTTGAGATCAGGCCAGCCTGGGCCATCCGGGTCAGGGCAAAGGGCACGTAGTGGTGGTTTGCCACCGCCTCTGCCTCTGCGTAACGACCCCGGGCTTCCTCGATGGTCTCCCCATCTGAGCCCTAACCAAAGCTGACCCCGCTTAGCTTCTGAGATCTGTTGAGATCAGGCCAGCCTGGGCCATCCGGGTCAGGGCAAAGGGCACGCGGAGAAAGGCTTCCGTGTGGCTCAGCCTTCCTGGTAGCAGCTGCCAGAAGGGACCAGCGAGATGGTTGCCAGCTCTGGGTTGGGAAATTCCTGGAGATTTGGGGGTGGAGCCTGCGGAGGGTGGGGTTTGGGGAATGGAGGGACCTCACTAGGGAGGGAATTCCATACAGTCCAGTCCACCCCCCAAGGCAGCCATTTTCTGCGTGGGGACCAATTTCCGTTACCTGCAGATCATTCGTGATTCTGGAAGCTCTCCAGGCCCCACCTGGAGATTGGCAATCCTAGAGTGCCCTCCCAGCTGATTAATTCCACCCCCACCCGCTTCCAATCAGCACCCCCCCCAGCTTTCTAACCTTCTCCTCTCCACCAGTACCAGCACTTCATTGTCACCCTGGATAGCTGCAAAGCAAAGAGAAGCGTTAAGCGTTCCGTCATCGGTACCCTGGAATGGGCTACGCTGGCTTTTGTGGGTTGTTGGGAGGGGGGGCATTTTAATCCGGAAGACCCCCTTATCATCGAGGGGACGGCATTTTTGGTACTGTTGCCCTGGGGAAGGATTTTTGGCCCTCTAACGACAGGAAGCAGCTTCTACTCAGTCGACCGTCACTTCGTTCTTCAGTACATAAGAGCATCAGAGAGAAGCCATGTTGGGTCAGGCCAGCGGCTCATCCAGTCCAGCACCGGGTGTCACACAGTGGCCAAAACCCTGGGGCCAGCAGGAGGTCCACCGGCAGGGTCAGAACTCCAGAAGCCCTCCAACTGTTGCCCCCCACAGCACCAAGAAGACAGAGCATCCCTTGCCCCAGACCGAGTGTTCCATCTAGACTTTGAATCTACCTGATCTCAATAGGAAACAGGATGATAAGCAGGGATCATTTCCTGCAGGAGCGCACAGGAGCGGCACTCCGGCAGTAAGGAGCCCAGGGGGCGGGCACATGCAACAAGCCCCACCCCCTGCTCAGAGCAGCCCTCAGTCAGAACAAGAAGATATATTTTAGAAGGACCTTAAAAGTATTTTGTGAGAGTGCTCGAGCCATAAAAAATTCTCATAAATGTATCCAATCTGCATAGCTAGAATTTGTGGGAAATAACAATAAAGTGACAAGGTCACGGTAATAAGATGTTCCTGTGCAATGGTCAACTGATAAGTTTATAGATGGCATTGTGTTAAATGAATTTGCACTTACAGTCTGTATTATTGTTTAAACAGTAATCTTGTTTATGTATATTTGACTTATCTTCTAATAAAATCATTTATTTATTTTTTTAAAAAGTCAGAACAAGAAGCAGTCAGGTAAGTTGCAGAGCCAACAGGTCCAAAACAGTCCAGTGGCACCTCTAAGTCCAAGTTTTATTCAGGTACAAGCTCTCCCTCCTCTGCGAGGGCAGATCTGCACGTCCCGTCTCCCCCCCGCATAGCTAGCAATCCAAAACAGTCCAGTGGAGCCTGAGCGGTGGGTGTTGCCTTCCGACACACTTCCGGTGATGCCAGGGGGTGGGGCATATGCAAATAAGTCATGCTAATGAGTTGTGCTAATGAGCCCCTGCACCTCTTTTTCTACGAAATGACCCCTGATGATAAGGAAAGCTAACCATCATCACAATCTGGCTAGGCAGCGTGGGATTGACCATGCTAGACTAGACGGACCACTGATCTGATCTCAGGGCTCTTCTTCTGAGATTTGAATCATCGGAACATCTATGGCCCTTGATATACCACTGGTTATACCAGCAATGGACCGTCTACTGAAGATCGCCATCATTTGCATTATACTGTATTTTCATACCTTATGCTATTTTAACTGGTTTATTGTGCTTACTGTTTTACGTCATTGTGATTGTTGTACGCCGCCTTGAGCCAGCTTGTCCGGCAAGGCGGGATCTGGAGGCTGTCATTCCAGTCCCAGAGCACTGTTTCTATTGCTGGAAACAGTCCCAGAGTAGTCTATTTGGGTGCAGAGACCTTAATGGAAAAATCCATTCCATATTTTCTTTGTAACTTTGCAAGTCCAGAAGAGCTTCCTGCCAAAGCATCATCATCAAGTTTCATCATCAAGTTTATTGTATTATCCATTGGCCATAACAAAACATAAATACAAACACAATCCTTATACATAGTGAAGTTATCCCTTCACTAACTTGCTGAATCCTAACCTTAGTCTTATCTTTTCTGCCGCCAAAGCAAACAGGGTCGTTCTGCTGGTAACATATACGTCCATATCAGAGAGCAAAAAAAGAACCAACTCCTGTTTTGAGAATCCATTGTGCAAAGGTAAAATAGGGTATATAAATCTCTGCCTAAGTGATTCGTGCCATGAGCATCTCAGTAAACAGTGCTCAATATCATCCACTTCGCCCAAACCACATTGACAGATTCTTAAGGCAACAGGTAAACCCATAAAACGACCAACACAGACCATTGAAGGAATGGCATGGGATCTGAGGGCTGTAAATGCCCTTCTTAGGTCAAGATTGGTTAGTTTCTCTAAATAGCCAGTCCTACAGTGATCTCTTTTAAAGATCTTAAACAGAGGGGCCGTTCGGCAATGGCGAGAAGTCACCCAGCGGGTTTCCATAGGACGAGTGGGGACTAGAACCTGAATTTCCCAGAAAGGTTCTTCATTTCCCCTGGAGAGTTTCTCAACACCGGTTCGTGTTCCTAATGGAAAATGTTCAGTGCAACGAGCACCAACAGAAACGTTCCCGGGGATCGCCCCTTGGTCCCGATTCTCCATGGGCTGCGGAAAGAGGACTACTCACAGAGCTCCTGCAGCTTCCGCAGGTGAATGGCCTCTTCCTTCTCGCTGCCGTCCAGGTAGGCGTAGAGGGTGGAACGCACCAAGGCAAACCAGCCTTCCTTCGCCCGCTCCAAGTTCAGGCCGCCCTTGTAATGCAGTCGCCCGAGGCGCTCAAAGTCTTTGTTCAGGAGACCCTCCGCGGGGGCAGGGATGAAGGACTGCAGGGGGGGGAGGGAGGCAGAAAGCAGAAAGTGAGAATCCACTCCTTGGGGATGGAACGGGGGGAGGTCTCTCTGCAAGGCCCACAGGGGAATGGCCTCGGGTTGCCAACTCCTGGTTTTATTTATTTAATTCATTTATACCCTGCCTTCCTACCCAACAGGGGCCCGAAGCGGCTTACATTATCCTCCTCTCCTTCGGTCGGGGTCACAGAACCGATCGACCCTTCCGGGGCCCAAGGATGCCAGGCTAGCTGCAACCAGGGCCAGAGCTTTCTTGGTGGCAGCTCCACACTGGTGGAATAAGCTCCCGGAGGAGATCAGGGCCCTGCAGGACCTTTTGCAGTTCTGCAGGGCCTGCAAGACGGAGCTCTTCCACCAGGCCTGTAATTAGGAGCAGCCACCACCACCATCATTACCATTTCCATCATGGCCAGAACTTTCTTGGTGGCGGCTCCACACTGGTGGAATGAGCTCCCGGAGGAGATCAGGGCCCTGGCAGGACCTTTTGCAGTTCTGCAGGGCCTGCAAGACGGAGCTCTTCCACCAGGCCTGTAATTAGGAGCAGCCACCACCACCATCATTACCATTTCCATCATGGCCAGAACTTTCTTGGTGGCGGCTCCACACTGGTGGAATGAGCTCCCGGAGGAGATCAGGGCCCTGCGGGACCTTTTGCAGTTCTGCAGGGCTTGCAAGACAGAGCTCTTCCACCAGGCCTTTAATTAGGAGCAGCTACCAGCACCATCATTACCACCATTTCCATCATGGTCAATATTAACAACTTTGAACATCAACAACTTATTGATAACTGAAACCTGGTGCCTGGTTTACCGACAGCCTGTGCTCGCCGGCCAAAACTGAGAATGATCATTTAGCTGAATGTCTATATAGGAACTATACAGGGTATGAGGAGAAGAAGAAGAGATTGGATTTATACCCCGCCCTCCACTTGGAGTCTCAGAGCGGCTTACAAACTCCTTTCCCTTCCCCTCCCCACAACAGACACCCTGTGAGGTTGGTGGGGCTGAGAGAGCTCTTGACAGAAACTGTTCTTTTTCAAGAACAGCTCTTATCAGAACTACGGCTTGCCCAAGGTCATCCAGCCAGGTGCAAGAAGAAGAAGACGAGGAGGAGGAGGAGGAGGAGATTGGATTTATACCCCACCCTTCACTACCCAAAGGTGTCTCAGAGCGGCTTACAAACTCCTTTCCCTTCTCCTTCCCACAACAGACACCCTGTGAGGTGGGTGGGGCTGAGAGAACTCTGACACAAACTGCTCTTTTTCAACGACAGCTGTGCCAGAGCTTGTGACTGACCCAAGGTCACATCAGCAGGTGCAAGTGGAGGAGTGGGGAAATCAAACCCGGTTCTCCCAGATTAGAGTCCACACACTTAACCACGACACTTAACCAGTCCAGTAGAGCCTGAGCGGTGGGTGTTGCCTTCTGACACACTTCCGGTGATGTCAGGGGGTGTGGCATATGCAAATAAGTTACACTAATAAGTTATGCTAATGAGCTCCTGCACCTCTTTTTCTACAAAATGACCCCTGCCCATATGCACTACTCCGAGAAAGGAAGGCACGAATGTGGGGGGAAGAGTCTGCATTATTCATTGAAAAACATAGCTGAGCTCATCGGTTTATGAGCCACATTTTAATGTTGACCTTCCACCACAGAGCTCAGGAAAGCATACACAACTCTCTTCATTACTTCGTTGTATCCACACAACAGTCTTGTGGGGTGGGTTATGCTGAAGTGTGGGGGCTAGCTTGAGACCACCCAGTATGCGGCGTAATTTGAACCCAGATCTCCCCAGGCCTAGTCCAGTACTCTCTATCCACTGGCCGGCGTTTTATCTGGTTGGCTCCGGGCTGTGGTTTTCGGACTTTGTAAGTCTGGAATCTCAAGTCGGCAGGTGACTCTTTCTCCATGTGAGATTTATTTGCGATTAATAATAAATCTTTCAATTTATTGATCGCTCAATCTTTGCAGAGCTGCTGGCCCTGAGCGATTTACAGTTACTCATTTCACAAGGGACTAACAATGCTTTATAGGGGTAAGGGAGGACAACACATATAATCTTTACATAGCACACGTTTTGCAGTCGACGGGGATTTGATCATTATTATTCAGACATTCTTCGTGTCAAAATAGCCCTGCGCGTAGAAGCTGCATCCCTGACCTGTCAGCTTTCTGCATGCAGGGAGATTTTCCCCTGGAAGGCTTTACCCAACAAGCAGTCGTGTCTAGGGATGAGCACAGACTGGAAAATTCCAGTTCGTCTCGTTTTGTAGTTCAACTGAACCGTGAACTAAATCGAACGGGGAGGTTCGTTCGCAAACCGAATCAGTTTGTGGCCCCACAAACCTTGTTGAAAGGGAAGTCCCTTTAAACCCCTGCTTTCTGCTCTATCCACGAACCGCCATGAACTGCTTTAAAAGTGCACGGAAATTCGTGATAGCAGACCCATCACAAATTTCAGTTTGCGAACCACAAGCAGGGCAACATTCGCAACAAATTTTGCTCCGTGGTTTGGTTCGTGCCCATCCCTAGTCACGTCTAACTCTTCCAAGGTAGCAATGACCTATGAGACACTTGCGCCAACTTAAGAAAGGCTGGAATCACCTTGAAGGCTGCAAGCCCATCTATGCTAACTTGGCAGTAAGCCCCACATGAATTCAGTGGGGTTTACTTACAAGAGTACACATTTTAAAAAACGTAAGACTCATTTAAAATATTCACAATCAGACCTAAAAAACTTCTCAACATTCATACATAGATGGGTTAGTGCTGTGCAACTGAACCAAACGCGTTTCGGCCCCAAAGGGCCTTCCTCAGTGGTCACAATCCAAAATACAAAGTTGACATACAGTCCAAAAAATATATACATAAGTTGTTAAATATATATGCAGTATAAGGCCAGATGTTATGTCCTTATATATTTATATGTATATTGCTGTTCTATAGGATAGGCCTCAGGTATGGCCAATTAAGGTCCACTAATAATTCCAAATCTGGTAGCATTAACTTGCGTGAGTTGACTGTATGTCACTCCATCCTGTACGAAACGCGTTTGGTTCAGTTGCACAGCACTAACCCATCTATGTATGAATGTTGAGAAGTTTTTTAGGTCTGATTGTGAATATTTTAAATGAGTCTTAAGTTTTTTAAAATGTGTACACCTAAATAAATTTTGTATGTTTATTATATGTAGTGTCAGCTTAACCCTTGTGGATTCATAGCAGCTTTTTGGGTTGAGTTTTCTTTTTTTTCCCTCCCCCCCCTTTTTTTTCTTTTCTTCTTTTTTCTTCCCCCCTCCTTTCTTTTTGTTCGTTTACTTACAAGAGCCAGATTCGTCAGAGCGTTGACTCTCAAAAGCTAATTCCCTGAAAATCATGTTGGTCTCTAAGGTGCTATTAGGAGATGCGGTGGCTCAAGTGGTTAAGATGCTGAACTGCAGGCTGTGGAAGGTCGGTAGTTCAGCAGTTCGAGACCCGGGTGCCGCATGATAAAGTGAGCTCCCACCTCTAGTTCCAACTCCTGCCAACCTAGCAGTTCGAAAGCAAGAAGTTGCAAGTAGATAAATAGGTACCACTTCAGTAGGAAGGGAACAGCGTTCCGTGCGCCTTGGTGTTTAGTCATGCCGGCCACATGGCCACGGAAACGTCTTCGAACAGTGCTGGCTCCTCGGCTTTGAAACGGAGATGAGCACCGCAACCCTAGAGTCGGATTCGACTGGCTTTCGAGCAAGGGAACCTTTACCTTTTTAAGGTGCTATTGGACTTCAATCTAGCTCTTCTATGCAAGGCAGGTGACGCTCGCCATACGGGGCAGTCGCCCTTCCAACCAGACCCATTGCAGGTTCCCCACTGAAAGCCAGAAAGGATCATAACTCAATGACTGGATACAGAGAAGGGGAGGGAATTGAAGGCAATCTGAAGAGAAAGGTCTGTTCTGCTGCTCTCCTGGCAAATAACCTAACACTGACCTTGTGCTTGACCCCATCATAGGAGCGCTGCAAATATAAGCGGGGGGGGGGGAAGAAAGCCACAACCAGCCCTTTCGTAGAGCCACCTGCCGGGGGGCTCCCACTCACCTTCGCCAGGCACTTCGTCCACTCCCGGATTGCCTCCGGGCTGTCCAGCCCAAACAGGTAGAGTCGCTCCGAATCGACGTACACCTCAAATGTATTCGCGACCCTGCAAGGAGACAGCAAAGGGGAGGAGGTTAGGGGAGAAGAGGACCCTGGAACACACCCTCTCCGGAGGGGACGGGGGCCTTCAGGGGATGCTGGGGCTTCTCAAGGGATTCGGTTGATCCAGGGAGAGTGCCAGGGGCTTCCATGGGAACTTGTGAGTCCGGTGGAAGTGAAAAACCAAACGCGGGCCCGAACCTGCCCAGAATTCCTCCCAGAAACACATCTCTTCCTTCCTTGAAGCTGCCATTTGGTCCATCAGGCCGTTCGGTCCATATGGCCCACTCAGACTGGCAGCGGCTCTCCAGGGTCTTACGCCTGGAGAGGTCTTTCGTATCGCTGCCTGGAGAGGCTGGGGATTGAGCCCACTAAGCCACGGGCCCTCCCCAATGTTTACAAATGTTCTTATTATCAATGGCAACCAGCCAGGGTGACTGAGGGGAACCTCGACATTCAGAGGCACTAATCCTCTGAGTCCCAGAGCCAGGAAGCAACATCAGGGGAAGGCCTCGGCCTCTCTGCCCTGTTGTTGGCCCTCTGGAGGAAGTGGCTGCTCACTCTGTAAGACAGAACGCTGGACTGGATGGACCCTCCCTGGTCTGTTCCAGCAGGGCTCTTCTGAGTAACTTCTCAGGGGAAGGCCTCGGCCTCCCTGCCCTGTTGCTGGCCCTCCAGAGGAACTGGCTGGCCACTGGGTGAGACAGGATGCTGGACTAGATGGATCCTCACTTGTCTGACCCAGCAGGGCTCTTTTTATGTCCTTATCAGGGGAAGGCCTCGGCCTCTCTATCCTGTTGCTGGCTCTCCAGAGGAACTGGCTGGCCACTGTGCGAGATGGGATGCTGGACTAGAGGGACCCTCCCTGGTCTGACCCGGCAGGGCTCTTCTGGGGTTCTTATCAGGGGAAGGCCTCGGCCTACATGCCCTGTTGTTGGCCCTCCAGGGGAACTGGCTGGCCACCGTGAGACGGGAGGCTGGACTAGAAGGACCCTCCCTGGTCTGACCCAGCAGGGCTCTTCTGGTGTCCTTCTCAGGGGAAGGCCTCAGCCTCTCTGCCCTGTTGACAAGGTGTTCGAATATTTTCCAAATCATTTCTAAAAAATATGTATGGTATCAGAGCCCGCTTGCGGGGAGGGTGGGGTAAAAATACCTAAATAAATAAATAAATAAAAATAGATTGATCTAATTTCTGTGCACTGAGGACAAGCAAGTCCTAGGTTACAAACTGAACTCTGCAATTCAAGAACAAGATGCATTTCTTCCTTTAAGAGGTGCTATTGTTACAAGAAAAGAAAAAGGTTTCAGTTTGGTTTTGCATGTGGGTAGATATTCTGTTTGTAATAACTGTTTGGATGCACTATATTTTTAATATGCGAGTTGTGATAATTTCATGCCGAGTAAAATTTCATGCCATAGTCATATTTTATGTTCCTAAAGTAACAAAATGACTTTCAATCTGGAGAAGAAAAAAGAAGTGCTAATGTAGCATTTTCCCCCAATTTTTTCGAAAATTTCCGTTTCCCCCCGGGAAAAAACGAGGGGGGATTTTCCCGAAAATTTCCGTTTTCCCCCGGAAAAAAACGGGGGGGGGGGAGACGGGGGATTTTTCCGAGCTTCAAAATTTCCAGAAATTTTACATCTCTAGGCAGGAGGAAGGCTGGCTTACCCGTGGGTGTCCGGTGGGTGATTCACCAGGCACACAATCTGCTGCATCCGGATCTCTCCGCTGGGCACGGTGGCGTGCTCGTTCTCGTAGTAGCTGAAAGCACCGTCGTGGAGGCGGCACCAGCGGCGACTGAACTCTGCGCGGGTGACGGGACAGGGTCAGAGGAGGGGGTCGAGAGAGAAGGCGGCTCAGGAGAGAACTTGCCGTGAGCCGGAGAACATCCAGCCGTGGCCTTCGCGGTACAGGGAGCTGAGCCGGCACACAAAGATACCTGGGGAGACTGCTGGGGGTAGGTCTTTACGGGGCCAGTGTCTGCACGGGGCTGATTTTGACCCTCGGACCGGAAAGACTCATTCTCCTTCAGTGTTCCCTCTAAGCTGAGTTAGTGTGACCTAGCTCAGAATTTTTTAGCCTCCGGCTCACAGATTTTTGTGTCAGCTCAGGAAGGATGGGGCTCCAGAACAAACTAACTGATGCAGGAGCCAAATCGCTCGCTCACAACTTCAATGCCAAATGAGTTTCTGCTGTTGGGTGTGGCCTATTATGCTAATGAGTTCCTGCTGGGCGTGGCCAACTCGGGAGCCAGCTGGAACTCCGTTCCTGTGCGTTCCTGCCCAAAAATAGCCCTGCTCCTCAGCTTAGAGGGAGCCTTGCTCTCCTTCATCCTGCACAGGGAGCTCTTTCGGTGTGGCATTTAGAGTTCTCTGCCCCGACAACCCAGATTCTGTGCTGAGAATTCTGCAAGCCCCACCATGAACACACGTGAAGCTGCCTCCTACTGAATCAAGCCCTTAGTCCAGGAAGGTCAGTCTTGTCTACTCAGACTGGCAGCCACTCTCCTGGGTCTCAGGCAGAGAGGTCTTTCCCATCACCTGCTGCCTGGTCCTTTGAACTGGAGATGTCGGGGATTGAACCTGGGACCTTCTGCGTGCCAAGCAGAGGCTCTACCACTGGGCCATGGCCCCTCCTCAAATTATGCATGCATGAAGCTGCCTTCTACTGAATCAGACTCTTGGTCCATCAAAGTCACTAAGATCTATTCAGTCTGGCAGTGGCTCTCCAGGGTCTCAGACTTTCCCATCACCTCCTGCCTGGTCCTTTTAGCTGGAGATGCCGGGGATTGAACCTGGGACCTTCTGCATGCCAAGCAGAGGCTCTTCCACTGAGCCACTGAGGTCCTTTCATATCACCTACCACCCAGTGCTTTTAATCAGACTGAAGCCGGAGCTTTCTGCTTGCCAGCTGATGTTCAGCCCATCGAGCCACAGCTCCTCCCCAGACCTACGTGATTCTGCAACATGTGGCATCATTTATTCTACTTTTGCCAGTTACCCGGGAAGGCCACAATGCCAACCCCAAAAGCCCCGCCACCCCTCAAGCACCGGAAACTGCCTCCAGCAGATTCTCCACCTTCTCCTTCCACTGCTCACCTGATCTCCACAACCAAAAGGCACCGAAACTGGCTTTTGTGAAATACTGGAAGCTCCAGCATGTGAAAATTCAAGTGAGACATCTGACCGTGCATTCTGCGCTCCCCCAGAAAACCTCCCCATGCCCTAAGGCTCCTGTGGAGATCGAAAACCAGCAGTGAAGAAGAACGTGCCAGAGACTTCCACTTCCTCTCCTCACATCTCCATCGGCCACTATGGGCACAGTCCTGGGAGAACTGGGTTGGAGTCCCCACGTCTCCACATGCAGCTGCTGGTGTGACCTTGGGTCAGTCACAAGTTCTTTCAGAGCTATTCTCTCACGAGCAGATCTCGAAAGAGCTCTCTCAGCCCCACCAACCTCACAGGGTGTCTGTTGTGGGGAGGGGAAGGGAAAGGAAATTGTAAGTCACTGTGAGACCCCAAGTGAAGGGTGGGGTATAAATCCAATCTTTTCCTCTTCTTCTTCTGACTGCCCCATCAAACAAAGACACTCGTTTGGTTGGGTACATGAGGGAGGGCCTTTTCGATGGCAACCCCATGACTAGGGAGTGGCTTCCACAGAGAAGTGCGCCTGGCCCCCTCGCTCTCCATCTTTAGGAGGCAGCGGAAGACGGTTTTATTTAGGCCTACGTTTGATTTGGTTTGCTAGCAGTCTTGAGTTTGTGATTTTAAATGTTGGGAGTCTTTTGGTGTAGTGGTTAGAGAACCGGGTTTGATTCCCCATGCCTTCACATGCAGCTGCTGGTGTGACCTTGGGTCAGTCACAAGTTCTCTCAGAGCTGTTCTCTCAGGGGCAGTTCTCGAGAGAGAGAGCTCTCTCAGCCCCGCTTGCCTCACAGGGTGTCTGTTGTGGGGAGGGGGAGGGAAAGGAGACTGTCAGCCGCTCTGAGACTCCTTTGGGAAGTGAAGGGCGGGGTATAAATCCAATCTCCTCTTCTTCTCTCTTCTTTCTAGGAAGGCTCACAATACATTTTGAGAAGAAAAAGAAAAGTTGGTTTTTATTCCCTGCTTTTCTCTCCCCCAAGGAGTCTCAAAGCGGCTTACAATCACCCTTCTCTTCCCCTCCCCACAACAGGCTGTCAGAACCCACAGCTTACAACGAAGTACACGCATTCAGGAACGGTTATACTTTTATTGCAAAGCTATAGATGCAGTAACACAGGCACTGTTAAGAATGGCGGCGACCCATAGACCCTAATAGGTTATAGGGTATTCGTATGCACCCCCCCCCATGGCATGGGCCAATTAGCTACCCTCCCGCACGCGGGACCAGCGAGGAAACCGTTAGGTGGCGAAAGCTGGGAACCAGGAGTCTCTCACGGTACATAGGAGACTTCCAGACAACACAACCTCCTCCTGCACATCTGTAGCGATAAGCATTTCAGCACAGGCAGAACAGAACAGCGAGATAGGAATGCAATAGCAATTACAAAGACACAGAATGAACTCCCCAACCCCCATGGCAGCATAGCTGACACAGGCCCCTCGTGAGGTCGGTGGGGCCGAGAGAGCTCCGAGAGCTCCGGAACTGGCACCCAGCTGGCGCCACGTGTATGGGGGAGTGGGGAATCAAACCCGGTCTTCCAGGTTAGAGTCCGCCGCTCTTCACTGCTTCACCATGCTGGCTCCATGCAGGGATGGCCCCAGCTTATTTTGCACCCTAGGCGAGGATCCCTTCTGGGGCCCCCTCCCCTGCAACCACCAATTTTCAAAAATACATGCATTTTAGGAAGAATGAAAAACACAAATAATCAGGAAACTTCCAGAGTACGGGGTGGGTTCAGTTCGGTGCCCCTAAGGGCCGTCCCGCTCTAGGCGACCGCCTAGTTCGCCTAGTGAGTGAGCCGGCCCTGGCTCCATGAAACCCTGACCACGAGGATCTCTGCCCGCATAATATCCCGGCCCGACCTCTTACCTTCTCGGGGTTTCCGTTCGTGGGCCGGCTTCGCCATGGAGGCCGTCTTGAAGAGGAAGCCATTGTGCGTGACGGAAGGCAGGGCCACCGAGTAGAGGTTCTGGCTCCCGGTGTCCGCGTCCAGGCGAGGGATCTCTGCGGACATGAGAGACGGGGGGAAGGGGGGCAGGTGAGCCAGGGGCCGAGGGGGCACGGCGGCTGCCGCCCGCTCGGCCGAGAGCAAGCTGCACCTCCGAAGCATGACATCGAGAAGAGAAGGGACGGGGCTCTGGGAGAGGAGCTCCCCAAAAGGATCCCACCGGGAGAGAAACAGAAACAGCCCGTCTCCGGGGCACCAAAGCAAATCCGGCCGACAATGCCGGCAGAATGACAAAGGCCCTGCCGGGTCAATCCCTTGTAATCCCTTTATTCAGAAGGGGGGGGTGCATTCAGAGACCTCGTGAAGCCGGCCGCCCTACTGTGAGCGGAGAAGCGGGAGGGAGAGGATTTGCGAGGGATGACACCAAACCAGGTGGAGCTGGCGGGCAGGCCCAGCAGAACTGATCCGAGCGGGAGGAGAAGAAAAGAGCAAGAGTCCAGGAGCACCTCCAAGACTGACAAAACTTGTGGCAGGGGGAGGAGATTCGTGAGTCATTGCTCACTTCTTCAGATGCAGCTAGAACGGGAGTCCATCTGTCCTTATATTACGAGGTCGATGGAATTCCCATTCTGCACGGCTAAATGTGGCGCCTTCCATGGAGACGGATCAAGATGGGCGGCCGTGTGAGTCTGTCTGGAGCAGGAGAAAAGAGCCAGAGTCCAGGAGCACCTTCGAGACTGACAAAATCTGTGGCAGGGGAGGACAGCTCACTTCTTCAGGTAAAGAACATAAGAACATAAGAGATGCCAATGTTGGATCAGGCCAAAGGCCCATCCAGTCCAACACTCTGTGTCACACAGTGGCCAAAAACACCAGGTGCCATCCTTCCTTTTATCCGTTCTAACCCGACCGCTCAGCAATTTCATGGAGTGCCCACGAGTTCTTGTCTTGTGAGAAAGGGAGAAAAGTACCTCTTTCTCTACCTGTTCTTTCCCACGCATAATCTTATAGACCTCGATCGTGTCACCCCTCAGTCATTGTTTCTCCAAGCTAAAGAGCCCTAAGCGCCTTATACTTTCCTCATAGGGAAAGTGTTCCAACCCCTTTCTAGGTACAGCTAGAATGGGAGTCCACCTGTCCTTATATCCTGACCGTGATCGCCACTCTGGGGTCAGGAAGCCATTTTTCTCCAGGCCAGTTTGGCTGGAGATCCTGGAGGGGTTTTTTTGGTCACCTTCTGGGCATGGAGCAGGGGTCACCGGGGGTGTGTGTGAGGAGGGGGAGGTATTTGTGAATTTCCTGCCTTGGGCAGGGGGTTGGACTAGATGACCCTTCCAACTCTAGGAACCTATGATTCTATAATTCTGCGATTCTAAGGTTGATGGATTCCCCCTCTGTACGGCTAAATGTGGTGCCTTCCACGGAGAAAGATCAAGATGGGCCGCCCTGTCAGTCTGTCTGTAGCAGTGGAAAAGAGCCAGCGCCCAGGTGCACCTTCAAGACTAACAAAATTTGTGGAGGGGGAGGAGCTTTTGTGAGTCACGGCTCACTTCTTCAGATACCTGGAGAATCAGATGGAGAAGATACCTGGAGATTATCTTCAGATACCTGAAGAAGTGAGCAGTGACTCACAAAGAGAAGGAGGAGGAGAAGGAGGAGGTTGGATTTATACTGTGCCCTTCACTACCCATAGGAGTCCCAGAGGGGCTTACAAACTCCTTTCTCTTCCCCTCCCCACAACAGACACCCTGTGAGGTAGGTGGGGCTGAGAGAGCTCTTGGCAGAAACGGCTCTTTTTCAAGGACAGCTCTTATCAGAGCTACGGCTTGCCCAAGGTCATCCAACAGGTGCAAGTGGAGGAGTGGGGGAATCAAACCCGGTCCTCCCAGATTAGAGTCCGCGCACTTAACCACGACACCAAACTGAAGGTGCTCCGGGACTGTTGCTCTTTTCTCTTGCTACAAACAGACTAGCATGACTACCCGCCTCGTCCTATCTCCATGGAAGGCACCCCATTTAGCCGCAGACGACGTTATCGTGCATTCAGCACCGATCCCAGATCAGCTTAATGCAGCCCCCACCAGCCAGCATACCGCACACAAAATATAACAGGGTTGCCCCCCCCCACCCTCCCGAGTTTTGCACAAATGCCAAGGAAGACAAGAATGCAGGATGTTCCCTAATCCACTGACCTGACTGTTTCCTGGGCCGGTAGAAGCCAAATCAAACAGTGACGTGTGTGTGTGTGTGAGAGAGAACGAGAACCAGATGTCTGCCGACCCCCCCAAAAAAAAACTTCACGCCGCACTCGGCCAGCATGACTTTTTCGTTCAGGCTGTCTGCCTCAGACCAACCACGGTCCCACCCTGCCGAGAAAGAGGATTTTTGGTCTCTGGCCAAATCATTCGTGCTCCGTGCTGCGCAAAAATAACAGCGTGCAAAGAGCCATCGCACAGAGGCAGAGAGGGGTGGACGAACCTCTCTCTCCCCCCATCTATTTAGTGCATTCTTGTCTTCCCTCTTCTCCAAGGGGCTTGGGGGGGCGGCAGCTTTGTTCTCCCTTCCCCATTCCTAGCCTCACGACAACCCTGCAAGGCAGGGCAGGATGCAGACTTCAAAAAGGGTGTGGACGGAATGGAACGGGGGCAGAGGAGAGCGACCAGGATGTCCAGGGGCCCGGAGACCGAGCCCTACGAGGAAAGGCTGAGGGACTTCTTGGGAATGTTCGGTCTGGAGAAGAGGAGGTTGGGGGGGAGACCGGATGGCTCTCTTAAAGTCTTTGAAAGGCCGTCACTTAGAGGAGGAGGGCAGAGAGCTGTTCCCGTGGGCAGGAGAGGAGAGGATTCGCAACAATGGGTTTAAATGAAGGGCGGGAAGGTACCAGCTGGATATTAGGGGAAACTTTGTGACAGCCAAGAGTTGTGCAACAGTGGAATGGGCTGCCTCAGGAGGTGGTGGGCTCCCCCTCCCTGGAAGTCTTTAAGCAGCGGCTGGACAAACACTTGCCAGGGATGCTCTTGGCTGATCCTGCACTGAGCAGGGGGTTGGACTAGATGGCCTTTAGGGACACCTCCAACTCTGTGATTCTATGATCCAGGGGTCATTTCCTGCAGGAACGCACAGGAGCGAAGATCCGGCAGTAAGGAGCCCAGGCAGTGGGCACATGCAACAAGCCTCGCCCCCTGCTCCCAGCAGCCCTCAGTCAGAGCAAGAAGCAGCCAGGTAAGTTGCAGAGCCCCCCACACCTCCCCCCCCCCCCGGTCCAAAACAGTCCAGTGGCACCTTTAAGACCAAGTTTTATTCAGGTACGAGCTCTCCCTCCTCTGTGAGGACACATCTGCATGTTCCCCTCCCCCAATAGCTAGCAATCCAAAACAGTCTAGTTGCACCTTTAAGACCAAGTTTTATTCAGGTAGGAGCTCTCCCTCCTCTGCGAGGACAGATCTGCACGTCCCCCCCCAATAGCTAGCAATCCAAAACAGCCCAGTGGAGCCTGAGTGGTGGGTGTTGCCTTCTGACATACTTCCGGTGATGTCAGGGGGCATGGCATATGCTAATGAGTTATGCTAATGAGCTCCTGCACCTCTTTTTCTACGAAATGACCCCTGTATGATGCTATGTAATCTGCCTTGAGTCTTAGCAAGAAAAGTGAACTATACATATCCAAATAATAATAACAAGAAAGTCACAAGAGGACCCACGGACAACCTGTGGTATCGGGGCTGGTTCTCCAGCCCAACCAGCTAAGCGACAACTGGGGAGGGGGGGTCTACAACAGGGCGGTCGCCAATCCTCCGTGGCACGAGTGACAACAGTTCTTGCCTGCTGGATCCATGCTGTCAGCAATTGCGTGGGAAGCGGGAACACACACCCCCATTGTCCTATGCTGAGGGTGACCAAGTACCTTGCACCAGCCCTGCCTGATACGCTGCTGGTCTGAATTCTCTAGCCCATTTTCTGTGCAGAGAAGAAGAAGGAGGAGGAGGAAGAAGAGGAAGAAGAGGAAGAGGAAGAAGAGGGGGACGAAGAGGAGGAGGAGACTGGATTTATACCTTGACCTTCACTCGGAGCGGCTTACAAACTTTCCCATCACCTCCCTCCTTGTCCTTTTTAACTGGAGATGCTGGGGATTGAACCTGGGACCTTCTGCATGCCAAGCAGAGGCTCTTCCACTGAGCCATGGCCCCTCCCTGGTTCTCCAGGGTCTCAGGCAGAAGGTCTTTCGCATCACCTCCTGCCTGGTCCTTTTTAACTGGAGATGCCAAGGATTGAACCTGGGACCTTCTGCATGCCAAGCAAAGGCTCTGCCACTGTGTCACAGCCCCCTCTGTACAGCTCTCCAGGGTCTTGGGCAGAGGTCTTTCGCATCACCTCCTTCCTGGTTCTTTTTAACTGGAGATGCCGGGGATTGAACCTGGGACCTTCTGCATGCCAAGGTTCTCCCGCCACAGTCCCCCTCCATAGCTCTCCAGGGTCTCAGGCAGAAGGTCTTTCGCATCACCTCCTGCCTGGTCCTTTTTAACTGGAGATGCCAAGGATTGAACCTGGGACCTTCTGCATGCCAAGCAAAGGCTCTGCCACTGTGTCACAGCCCCCTCTGTACAGCTCTCCAGGGTCTTGGGCAGAGGTCTTTCGCATCACCTCCTGCCTGGTCCTTTGTAACTGGAGATGCCGGGGATTGAACTGGGGACCTTCTGCATGCCAAGCAAAGGCTCTGCCACTGTGTCACAGCCCCCTCTGTACAGCTCTCCAGGGCCTCAGGCTGAGGTCTTTCTCATCCCCTCCTGCCTGGTCCTTTGTAACTGGAGATGCCGGGGATTGAACTGGGGACCTTCTGCATGCCAAGCAAAGGCTCTGCCACTGTGTCACAGCCCCCTCTGTACAGCTCTCCAGGGCCTCAGGCTGAGGTCTTTCTCATCCCCTCCTGCCTGGTCCTTTTAACTGGAGATGCCAAGGATTGAACCTGGGACCTTCCGCATGCCAAGCAGAGGCTCTGCCCCTGAGCCACAGTGCTCAGAGACAGGCCAGCTCTGGTCTCTTTCCCCAGGACCCCAGGACCCGAGGAACCCTGCCTCTGAAGAGTTTCCGCTCTGGTGTCCGGCTCAGAGACCTGATTCCACAACTGCTGGCCGCCCCGTCTCCTCAGGCATTTCTGGCTCCGTCGCAACAAACACATGCACACGACCACCGCTGCCACCACCCTGCCTACCCCCGAACACCCTCTTGCCCTCTCACCTGAGTTCTTGTTGTGCGACAGGAACTCCATCTGCAGCCTCTGGCCGGCCTCCTCTGCCAGGGCGAGCGGGGACGGGTGGCCGGACTCCCCCGAGTAGCAGTTGACTTCGGCCCCGCAGAACAGGAGAGACAGCGTCTCGGCCAGGTCGCTGGTGGTCACAGCAGCACACAGAGCCTGCGGGGATGCGATGAGTGTGAGTCAGAGAGGCGCAGCGCATGCCGCGGCGCAGGAAAAAGCGAAAGCCAGCAGATTCAGATGGGGGAAGGCCAAAGATCCCCGGAGAGCGGCAATCCTACATTCTTCAGTTAAGTACCAGCTGTGAGTGTGGAAGAGGTTCCACCCTCCCCCTGGCCAGCTAAAGGACTGGAAAGAGAGGGGGGCGTTTGGAGAGCGCAGCTCTGGAGGAGGAGGCCGGCCAGGCGGCCAGAGAGGACGGGAAGGTCCCTTTATGGGGAGAGGGGAGTCCGGCCAGCCCGCGGGTGGGATTCCAGAGGCCCCCGGCCAGCCCGGTTACTGGCCAGCAGGGCCCTGGGTGAGGCTCAGACTTCCGTGGGAGGGAGAAGCCGAAGAGCCCCAAGAGGGGGAGAGAGAGGAGGGCGCGGGAGGGGCCGGTGCAACTCGATCCGGCCCGCTCGGCTCCAATCCTGCTCGCTCAGGGCTGCCAGAGTGCAGTGGCTCACAGCACACAAACACACACACGCACACACACACACAAAAGTTCATTCTCCCCCCCCTCCCTGCCCCCAACCTGGCCTGGAAGCCTTGCACAAACTCTAAACGAAACCAGCATTCAAGGCAGAGGCCACGGAGGGCCAAGAAGAACCGGCGGCTTGTGCAGACTCTGTGCATTTCAGACTGCGTCAGGGCTAAGGTTTGCCAGCTCTGGGTTGGGAAATTCCTGGAGATTTCGGGGTGGAGCCTGGAGAGGGTGGAGTTTGAAATGTACTGAGGCCAGAGACCCAGCATAGTGAGTCAGCTCTTGTTTATTGGATTACATCAGGAACGAAAGATACATTGGTCGGCCAGTGCCCGGCTTATATGCGTGACCCACACCACACCCACACACACCCGTCACCTGTGATTGGCTCTGTTTACAAGTTAACAAGTCAAACCGAAAGGTCTACTTTCGGATCCGGGCGAACCCACTGGTGCGCCCTAGGATCCGAAGTTGCTATTGTCTTAGGACCGAAGGTCGGGAGGTTTATCAGACCGCACGGCCAGGCTGGCACTGCCGCGGCCATCTTATTGCAGCTTAAGACAGAAGAGGAGGAGGAGGAGGAGACTGGATTTATACTCCACCTTTCACTACCTGACTCTCAGAGGGCTTACAATCTCATTCCCTTCCCCTCCCCACAACAGAGACCCTGTGAGGTCGGTGGGGCTGAGAGAGCTCTTTCAAGGACTGCCCTTGAGAGAACAGCTCTGAGAGAACTTGTGACTGACCCAAGGCCACACCAGCAGCTGCACGGGGAGGAGTGGGGAATTCAAACCCCGGTTCTCCCAGATTAGAGTCCGCGCACTTAACTACTATACCAAACTAGTATAAGGAGGGTGGAGACCTGTCCCTAGTACCAGGAGAGAGTTTGACTGTCATGGAGATTCTTTGGAAATTCTGACCGCCTCCACCCGGAAATCGTCAGGAACTTCCCAACTCAGTTGGCAACCCCATCTGGTAGCAATGGCTTCGCTTCCACATCCTGGCATCCACGTTACGGCTAAGTAGTCCCATGGAAACCCCACAGAAAGGAAAGGAAGGAAGGGGCCAAAGCGTGCGGGGGGGGGGGCTGGTCATTCCAGGCGGCAACAGCTGATCCCCCCCCCAACCTTGCTAGCCACACCCACTGTGTCCCAACCAGAGCGTCTTCATAACATCTTGCAAAACCGCAAGACGAGAAGGCTTCCCGACTCTTTACGACCTCTCGTTTGCAGTTTCCGGACAGCTCCCTGAAGTCGGGCTGTTTCCTAGACAGATGGGGGACTGCAGAAGGGGGGGGAGGCTGCCGGACCCCCCAACCACAGTCAAACAGTCCTCCTCAAACCTCCCCCCCCCTCCGCCCAGAGACTGGACTGGAAACATCCCCGAGTCCTTTACAACAGAGTTTGTCACCCTGTGGGTCGGGACCCAAAAGTTGGTTGCAAAACTTCTGGAAGTGGGTTGCGGGCCAACCCCCCCAGTGGTCGCTTCCCCACCCTTCCTGTTGCTCTCTTTTGTATTCTGGAAACCAAGATCTGACCCTGGAAACTGTATCTGTATGAACTTAGGTTTATAAGATTATGCCTGGGATAGAGCAGGTAGAGAAAGAAGTCCTTTTCTCCCTTTCTCACAGTACAAGAACTCAAGTGGGCACTCCATGAAATTAGTAAGCGGTCGGGTGAGAAGGGATAAAAGGAAATCCTTCTTCATCCAAAGAGTGATTCACACTTGGAATTCACTGCCACAGGAAGTGGTGGCGGCTACAAGCATGGACGGCTTCAAAAGGGAATTAGATAAGCATATGGAGCAGAGGTCCATCAGTGGCTATTCGCCACAAGGTATAGA